AACTGCTAAAACATGGAGCTTAATTAATAAGATAAAATAGCTACCTCTGTCATGGAGTAGCCAGTTATCTCCACTACAGCAGCTGTTATTTTCTCTGGACTCTTCTCCAAGCTGCCATATTCACGCACAAGGCATCGAACGTTCACAGGGTGAAGGTACATGCACTGCCCATCCTCCGCTGAAAGGCAAGACATCATCACTCCTTTGCTTGTTCATTTTTAGTACCCTTCTCCCCACCTCAATACACCCTCCACTTATAAAATTAAAGCTTCTTTCTGAGTTCCTGCAGGACTTTTATTTCACAGGGGTTAGCTGCATCTAAGAAACTGAAAAACACATTCCTCAAGGAGGGTCCCAAAGGAGGCATCTCTGCCCTTATGAGTTCAGGATTTCATTGAACTGACCTTGATAGAAATAGTAAAAAGGAGAGTTGCCAAGATGTCCACTGCTAATTGTATCTTTAGATTCTTGGCAGATTGTTTCAGCTGGAGTTGGTTCTTCTATAGTGTTTATAACAGGTTCTCCTACAGTGTCCACCTCAGGTACTTCCTCCTCATCCAGCACTGCCTCTTCTACTTCCACAGGAGGTGAAAAGGAACTTGCCAGGTCAGAGCAAGGCTCCACCAGCTCCTCATCAAATGCAGAGAGATATTCCACATCACACTACACAGCAGAGAGGACAGAGTTAGTACCATGCCACCTCCTTCAAAGATTATCATCTCTTCAAAAATCTTTGGCACGAGTTCACCACATACATGAGTGTGGAGTGGCAGAATTAAGTGTTAGCAGGATCTGCCAGAGCACATTTGTCACCCACCTTTTTCTCGTGGGAAACAGCAGGCTCCACAGCTTTGGAGCTTTCTAGGACCAATTCTTCCACAGCTGCAGTGATTCCAGCAATGCCATTGTTTTTATCCTGGTCAGCAGAGAGTGCTGTTTCTCGCTCCTGCAGATCACCCAAAGGGATCAAGTTTCAATTTGCCCTTTAAGCCAGGAGACCATCACCATAGCTATTCTTAGCCTTGTCCTGATACTCCTTTATTGGAATACCATCCAGTAAAAACCATTCTGTTGTGCTATCCTGAAAATCACACCATATACCTGTAGCCCAAAGGCTACAGTGTCCTCCAAGGAGCTATGATGCTATTCCAGCAGCAAACACCAGCAACTTGCTGGAGACCAGAATAATCACACCATCTATGCAGCAGAACAGGGACGCTCAGCCCTCAGCACACTCTCAAAAACAAAGGTACTAAAAGCCTCCCAAGAGGTTACCTTCAGCTCCTGGATAGCTGCCTCAATGAAACAGGCTTCTGGGGTGTGTTTTTCCTCCTCATACTGCTTCAGTAATGCCGCTTTCTCCTCCAGAATCACCAGCTGCAAGACCTGCTCCCTGGATGCCAGCAGCAGCTTTGAATACTGACTGTGTTGGTCATCTGCACAGAAGGAGCACCAAATCATTAATATCTGCATGCAGAGACACCAGTGTGGATTGCTGCTGCTTCTGAAGTTCTGTTACTGCTCACTTCTGTGAGTTAAACCCCCAGGGCAGACAACACTCAGCAAGAGTTTGATACAGACTCCAAAAATTACCATTGTATCACAGGCTGGTGTCACATAGCTGCTCTGACACATATCTCCCCCACACAGCAGTTTATCTGCCACTTCATCACTCAGTTGCTACACATCACTAAAAATCAAGCCTAAACTTCTACACTGTAGAACCATCACCTTTGAGAAGTCTTGGGGGCGTCAAAACTTCCTGAAACAATGCAGTCTGTAGCTTCTTCCTTTTTCTCAAAAATACTGCTGTTGGAAATTTCTGCAAAGCCACCCTGGCTTGGCTCAAACTAGTTCATAAGCCCATATGTATTAAAAATCCATAAAAAACATTATTATGAAGTTTTTACAAGAAGCATAACAGAAATTGTAAGCTAAAGAATTGCGAGGTTACCAAAAGGTGACTGTCTTTGCTACTTTACAGCAACCACAGCATCCCATATTAACACAGTCCCTGTATTCACTGCTCCCCAAGAGTCCAACCTTGTCTACAGACACCAAGTTAATGGTGAATTTCCTGGCTTTAGAGTTCTCAAATCCTGTATTTATTCTTTTGTTTGTAAAGTCCTCTAATTTCAAATTCTGAGAAATATATAAGACCAGAGCCTGCATACTGGATACCCATCACACTTTAGGAGACTTGACTTTTTCCAGAGAGTTTCAATGCATGCAGCCTTCCCTAAATGTGACTGCAAAATGAAGTGAGCCAAGACAGCCCACAAAGCAGCAATGTTCAGTAAAATTATTTCTTTAGTCACAAAATTTTTGTGATACTAACAGATAAGATGATGATGAGTTAGTCACACTCTTGACTGGAGAAAACTGAAGATGTCAGGCAACAGATGTTTGGAATAGCTTTGCAATAATTTTGATTATTTCCCCATAGCATTCACTGACTTCAGCTGATAAGTGAAGATGATGAAAACCTTGTTGAAGATTACAGCCTTGAAATAGTTTAGACACAGAGAGTTATTTTTGTGAAGCTGTATAATGAGGAGTCAGAAGGAAAAAAGTTAAGGACAAGGAGGCGCCAATAAAAGCAGTAAGAGTCACACCAATGACTGTAAGATACAAAGTACACATCAAACTATCAGAGACTGAGATGGCAGAAATCTGCAGTGCAGTCACTTGAAGGGAAACAGCACACAAGTTAAAGCCTTACATAAAAACAGTCTGAGTAGAAAGTTTTCTTTTCTTTTTAATATGTGTCATTAACCATTTCAGCAGCTATGCCCCATGTTTTGCAGTCTGGTATATTTTAAGGAACAGGATTCCAACTGCCAGGACTCAGATACACTCACCTCTGATGTAAACAGGCTGAACCACATTCATCCACTGGGATTTGGGCAGTGCTACAAGAACACCTTTCTCTCTTCTCATAAGTTGCATCGTAATGGTATCACCAATTGCATACTGACGTGTTTCCATAGCAACAACACTGCAAGGTATGGAGGAGGTTAGTAGTGTAAAAATAACATTTCAAAAAGATGCACCATTTAATTAATATGGTCTCACCTCTTGAGATCCTTCTTGTGAACAGAGCCATAACAAATAGGACACTTACTCCAGGTCTTTTCACTCAAGGACAGGTAGTGAAGGATACATGCCCAGCAGAAGATATGGCCACAGCGGGTGATCTTGGCTGCGGTCGGTGGGTACAGACATATTGGGCAAGAGGGCACTTCGTGGCTACAGATTCGCTGAAATGGCACATGTGAAGAACAGTACAAGCTTTAGACTCAGAAATCAGTTCCTGGGACTGATTAATAACAATAAGATTATAATTATAATAATAACTGTAAGATCTATTCTAACATACTATCTTCCAGTTCTTTATGCTCTGTTTATTTACCAAAAAATTAGTACACTGTGAACTAACAGCCACAGACAGCACATGAATAACCTAAGCCACCCATCGTACTTCCTATGTCTTATTTCTACTAATGACATTAAAAAGTCAGTTTTCTCATGTCTCCCCTTAAGTATTCATCATCTCTAAAAGCAGCATCTTCACGATCCGAATTCAGTGAGAAGACAGCGAGCAAGCTCTGTGGCCTCTCACACAAGCAGACTTGTGCAGCCCAGTGTAACTGTGAGACTGAACTTACCCACTTGCATGAACATGCCAGGTCTAGTCAGACACTTTGGTACCATCTCTGTGTGGCAGAGATTTAACTGCCAAGCCAGCACCCAGATTTTTTCAGCTGTCTCGTAGTGACAGGTAACAGTAAGCCTACCTCCTCTCCACCTACACCATGCACCCGACTGTCTTGGCAGATATAAATTTCTGCTTGAGACAACCCAAAATTTCTGACCACAATTCTCAAGAGATTTTCCATTTTGTTGCTAGGCAAGATAGGCCACCTATGCACAGAGTAAGTCTTCAAAATTCTACACTCTAGTCCTCTTCCATGGACTCAAGCCCAAGTTTTCTGTTAATATCTCCATCACAAGGACTCTGTCTACAGAATGTCAGATACTATTTTTGATGAGCTCCCATCTGCGAAAGCAAGAAGCTGCTAATTTTCCTAATAGATTTTAGCACTTCTCTTTTCCTGTCATGAAAGTATTTCATAATATATTCCATGACAGATCTTTCCCAGTATTGTGGGAGTGACAGAAAAGGCCTCAACTCAAAAACAGCTGAGTTTTATGTAACATCACAGAGGGAAAGAAGTAATTAAAGACAGGTTGAGATTCTTAAGATGGAAAAAAAAAAAAATCTAGCACATCACAACTGACCACTTGCTCCACAAAGTCCCAGTTGACCAAGGTATCTGGATCAGCAAAGTGGACTGTGTAGTCTTGTTCTTCAGAGACAACAAACTGGCAGCTGGGGAAAAGCAAAGAGACAAATGATCCACTCATTTCTTAAAAATGTTTGAGAACTATTCTATAGGATTCTCTGAGTTTCTTCTTTGTCCAGCAGAAAACCACTGGATGCAATCAGTAACTGCTAGCAACAAAAAAATCAAGAGTTCAATTCACAACCAGATTTCCAGGACACAGGTATGTCGAATTTCAGTTAGACACAACATCACACACTAAGTACAGAATAAGCCAGGCAGTCTGGTTTTCCATAAACACACATGTAAGTAAGTCAGCTGCAATGGGGATCTGTTAAAAAACAGGGAATCCATATGGGGAAAAAAATATACTCCTTTAAAAAACTTTACAGTCCTTTAAAAAACTACAATTACTAGTATGTTCCTGCAAATAGACTTCACTACAATAAGACACAAAACATTAGGGAGAAATCAGAAGCACCAATGCTGAGAATACGTTTTAACATCATCAGAGACAGAAAGTCCATAACACACTTCAAATTCTGGGGAAACTTCCAGTACAAAGGAATTTTGCTGCTAGGTTACCATATATTGGTCATAATTTGGGTTATACTAMATATTTAGGGGCCCACARAATAATCAGCAATTTAAGAATTAAGACCCGTCTAAGTAATTGCCTTTGGGACTTATAAATTCAGATTAGCTTTTGTCTAGCAACTGCTATCCATTCCATCTCAACATAATAACTTTGGAAATAACACCCAGCTTTATAGGGAACTACACAGATATTCCCAAATGGGAGTGCCATGTCCCAAAGCCTGAAAATTTGAGCAGAAGATTAACTGGTTTGTATCTAAAGGACCCACTCCACCAGATACCTTGCAAACAGGTAAAGACAACATCCCTTTAAAATTTAGTCACTACCACTGAAAACTCTATGGAAAACTAATTTCACCCCAGAAAAGACAATACAATTAGTCAAGCCCAAATACACTTCCCTGGCTGGTCACCCCTTACAGCTCCATGTCTCTGCAGAAGTCTAAGAGCCCCATGGATCTCCCACTCACTTGGCCTGCAGAAAGAGCTCCTTGTTGAATGGTTTGTGTCCCCACTTGTTCCTTTTCCCCCAGTTGCCATGTCCATTCCCATCAAAATGTCCTGCTTGGCCACGGGGTTCAAAGGTGAAGTTCAGTAAGTGGTTCAGATTAATCTTCTTGGGACCAGAGAATTGGGCAGGGCTGAACTCTGCCCGTTGAGCCTCTGCTACCTAAGAGAGAACAGCATTTGTTAGAAACTGCTGGAGTTTACAGCAAAAGCATCAGTACAGGTGGACATCCAGGCCCCAGCAGTGATTACACACAGAACATGCAGCATCCACTCACTCACCTCTCCCATCCCTGTTCTGTAAATCAAGTGGTGCAGCACTAGAAATGCACAAGAACCTGAAAGTCAGAACTCAGTAGTCTTACCCCACAATGAGCAAAAGGAGTTAAAATAACCACAAAGACAAGTAAACACTGGCAAAACATAGTCAAGAAGAAGTTGTTTAAATCTTGACAATACTCTTTTAGACAGTACTACAAGCCTGATTACTGTTTGCACAGATTGTACTTGTTTTGCAAAGACTAAGAATTCAACAGAGGCAGCAGGTGAATTTTGAGCCAGTGATCTAGGTGAGAAGTGCTGCTCATCCATCAAAACTGAAAAATCACAGTATCAGTTAAAGGCCAAAAACCCTCTACAGTATTTAGACCCACATCAGCATAAAAACCTCAGTCTGGTTTTTCTTTGATAACAGCAAGGCAGTTACAATTACTTTCTCGATACCACTATCACTTGTAAATTTGTGCCCTGAAGTGGTAGGACCCAATCAATCTTCTTTGGCCTGTTTAGAAGATTCATTGGCAGAGTCCCTTGGGACTGGAAGGGCTAAGGAGTCCAACGCTGGACATTCTTCAAGAAATCTTAAAGGCACAGGAGAATTCTGTCCTCTTGTGCCAAAAAATCAGCCAGTGGGGAAGACCAGCCTGGCTCAACAGCGAGTTTTAACTGGAAGTCAGGAAAAAATGAATTTATGACCTGAGGAAGAAGGGACAGGGAACTCAGCAGGACTACAAGGATGTGATGAGGTTATAGAGGGAAAGAGGTAAAGGGCCAAAGCCTGACTAGAACTTAATCTAGCCACTCCTGTAAAGACAAAAAGATGCTTCCATAAATACATCCGCTGCAAAAAGAGGGCTAAAGAAAATCCCCATGCTTTAATGCATGCAAAGGGAAACAGTGGCAAAGGGTGAGGTAAAGGATGAGCTACTTAATGCCTTCTTTCCCTCAGCCTTTCATAGTAAGGCCAGTCATCCTCAGAATACCCAGCCCCCTGAGATGGAAGATTGGGATAGGGAGCAAAATGAAGCCCCCATAATCCAGAGAAAGAGTCAGTGACCTGCTGTGCCACTCAGACACCCGTAGGACTCCACCCATGGGCACTGTGGGAGCTGGCAGCAGTGATCATCATTAACCAGCAATTAATGATCAGCATTAACCAGCAGTCTTGGCAAACAGGGAGGTTCCAGCTGACTGGAAGTCATCAAGTGTGACACACACCTACAAGAAGGGCTGGAAGGAGGATCTGGGGAATTACAGGCCTGTCAGTGTGACTTCAGTGATGAGGAAGGTTCTGGAGGTCATTCTTCATGCCATCACAAACATGTACAGAACAACCAGGGGATCAGCACAGCCAGCATTGGTTCACGAAAGGCAAGCTCTGCTTGACTAACCTGATCTCCTCCCCATTTAGTGCACGAGGAAAAAGCTGTGCATGTTTATCTACCTGGACCTCAGAAAAGCCTTTGGCACAGCTTCTTACAGCCTTCCCCTGGATACACTGGCTGCCCATGGCTTGGATAAATGCACAATTCTCCAAGTAAAAACCTGTCCGGATGGCTGAGCCCAGAGAGTGGTGAGGAATGGAGCTACATCCAGTTGGGGCTGGTCACTAGGGGGGTTACCCAGAGCTCAGTATTGGGGCCAGTCCTGTTTAATGTGTTTATCAATGATCTGGATGAGGGATTTGAGGGCACCCTAAGCAAGTTCACAGACAGTACCAAGCTGAGCAGGAATGCTGATCTGCTGGAGGACAGGAATGTTCTGCAGAAGGGTTTGGACAAGCTGGATTGACGGGCCAAGGACAATTGTGTGAGGTTCAACAAGGCTAAGTGCTAGGTCCTGCATTTGGGTCACAACAACTCCTTGGAATGCTCCAGGCCTGGGGAAGAGCAGCTGGAAAGCTGCACATCAGGAAAGGACCTGGGGATGTTGGTCAACAGTGGCTGAACATGAACAGGTGTGCCCAGGTGACCCAGGCAGCCAGCAGCACCTGGGCTGTACCAGAAATAGTGTGGCCAGCAGGAASAGGGCAGTGAAATGAKGTCACTATATATTTTCMCAAAGGACCCGTGTCATGAGATGTGTACATGGCCTGTCTTGGCACCCATTCCTCAGATGGCATTTTTTCTTAGAGCACTCCTCTTCTGTAGTTGCCAAGTTGCTCTACTCACATTCCCTCTGGCATCTCAACGATGTTAGCACCTCTTATCACTCTCTCCCTTCCCAGCCCAGGAGCTGAACGTGTACACAGCAGATCTATCTAGGCAGGTCAGGGTGATCCTCTCATCCCAAGAAAGAAGGCCTTGGAGGCATGGCATTACACTTCTCACCTCATCTCGTCTTCCACCATTAGAAGAGCTAAAAGATTTGCCACTTCCRCTGCTGCCTCCYCTTTGAGGGGGCATCTTGTTAAAAGCTTTGCTTTTCTGTGAATTGGAGCGACGGGACTGACTGGAAAAGTTCTCATTTTTTGAATATGAAGTTTCTCTTTTACGATTATAACGCTGTTTGGATCCACTCGCATTCTTTCCATCTGAAAAGAAAAAAAAAAACCAAGAATCAGATCAGCAGCCTCAGAGGTGTCCCCATGTACTGCACCTCAGCTAACTTCACCTCAGCCACTGTCTCAAGGGCAGTGTTTATCAGGACATCAAATCCCCCCAGCAACCCAAACCAKTTCATTCCTATCATTGCCCAAAAATCTGGTACAAGAGTTTGAAAGAACATATTTGCTGTGCTCTACCTTCTATAAGAATAGTTGAATTTCCCTTTATCCAGATTTGGAATTGCCACCACCAGACATCAGAGTGTTGCCTGGTACATGAAGTGATAAATACCAAGATACCACATCTTCATGCCCCATTACAAGAACTGACAACAACTCGTTATTTTTTTTCATTTCATTTGCCTAAAACACACAATTTATCCTATTTATCACATTCCCTTGTATAAAGACACTCCTGCCTGCATTTTTCTTGAAGGCTCCCATTGCCTTTTTCCACTCACTTCTGCACTCATTGCCTAAAAGATCACAGCAGATATAACTGTTTAAAAAATACACTTTTATGTTATCAGGCCAACAAAGGCTAACTGATCTTGAAGCACAAACCAAATGCTTTGTGGCCTTGCTGGGCACATACCTAAGATCTAAGTCCACCAACCTATGCAACAACAACTGTTTGCCAAAACCCATGCTTAGCACACCACTGACCCTAACACAGGACACAGTGGTGAAGCACAAAGCAAAATATTGCAGGAATAACGTTCACAAGAGCAGAAAAATCAGTCCAGCTCTTGAGAGGGGTTTTCTGTGCCTCAACAGCTGCCACATCAAACTGCTGGAACAGAGTTAATACTATGAAGGTATTTCTAATAGTCTTAACACAAGATCAGAGTTGCCCAAGGACACAACAGACTGCTGACCTGTTGCTTAACCTGGCACTTCCACCACCTGCCCACAGTTTTATTTGTAGAAGAGGTATGATTGTAAGCTTGGAAACAAAACTCCACAGGCCCCCAAGACATCTATCCACACAGGCAGCCTCAAAGTCACTCTGGATACACAGTAAACATTCCACAAACAGCAAGGCTTCACACAATATCTAGTTGCATTTTATAAAAGCCTGTTCCTTTCCCTTTTCCCACTTTGTAGTCCTCCTCCCCACCCCTTAACATAAATCTTACAAGGCAGGCAAACACACCACAGTGATTCAGGATCATATTTCTCATGTGGGCATTTTCATTGCCAGTGCCTCCAGCTTTCCCCTTTCCCAGCACCACTTCCCATCTACCCAAGCATTCAAAACAGTTGGAATGGCATCATTCACATAAACTACATCTTTTTGTTTGGGTTTTTTTTTTGTTATTTTAAGTTTTTTCACCCACCTGCACCCCCCCAAAAAAGGTAGGGCTGGAATAAATGAGTATTATTGTATATCAGAAAGGATCCAATTTCTTAAGAATAAATTAAGTAATAAAAGGGCTGGACCAGGTTCTGTGCTGGTCTGCTGCTTCTTGCACTTGTCAGACTTCAGTCTTTGCCTGCAAGTACAGCTATAATAGGACACTATCATTACTTTCACACGATGTGACAGGCCCATTTTGCAGTCAAACTTCATCATCAGAACTGGTAATTTACTCTGCTATTCAAAAGGCTGATCCTTTAATTCAGAATTAAACCAACTCTGTCAGAACCACAGCTGTGTAACTCAAACACATGCTTGCATAGCTGGCAGTGCTTTAATGCACATCAGGCTAAAAAGTCATGGCTTGAGTGTTATCAGGAAAAAAAACACACCAGAAGCTGCCAAATACTGAGGGTGTGACCAGGCCTGGCTGAATGATTAGATAGACCTGGTTTGAGAGYGTTTGCAAGGAAGAAGGAATAACCAACACCTTGGAGTCTGTAGTAAAAAAATAAGTCATTTTGAAGAGGTTTGGACTACTCATTAAGTTACTCAGGAGCAGCATTTGTCAGTTTAGAGTCCAACCACCCTCTTAAATCTGTCATTTCAGCAAATGCACTAGAGGGGCGCATGCCTATTGTGTCTGTACCACTTTGCAGTTTCTCTGCCATCTTCAGCTGGGGAAAAGAAACAACTCAAAAGAAGTGAGTCCCAAGTGGGTATTTACAAAGCCTGGGAAGGAGGAACAGCTCGTACCTGCAGCTGASAGAAGAAYTTCTTACCACTTAAAGTTTTAATGKAGTTACTCACCATGCACTTTGTCAGTCAGATGGTTTACACATTCCTGTCATACTACAGGTCCTTTCAAGCCCCTCCTAGAGTCTTTGGGAGTCACTTGAGTGACTCACATTTTATAGGAAAGAACTCTCCACTTGYACATTTTTTAAAAGGACCCTGCAACAGTCTAACAACATTTCAAACCTGATTTTACAGATTGATGATTTCATCTCCCCACTACAGGAATTACTGACCTCAGTAGAAGCCTGGTCCATCAGAGTAGTAAAGAAATCAGTCAGCAGACAACTGAGAGTTTGCAGAATGCATTTGTAAACTGGAACAGCTTTCCCCCTCTCTGAATCTAAGCAATGTTGTTCCTTCCAAGCTTTCCAGCATGCCACATGTCAGGGAGCTCTCTGCTTTCTATCATCCATCCCAGCACTCCAGCAAAGAACAGGGCAGGACAGGCTGCACTAAGACCAGAGAAAAGTGGAAGATTCTCACTGCCAGCCTCTCTTGTGAGATCCTAGTTTTAAGTGGTGTAAATTTGGATTTGGTAGTTTCTTTTTTCCCTCTTTTCTTGGCAAATTAGGAGTTAGCAGCAGCAACAGTGCTGGTGAGATACTTACTCTTCACTCAGGGCATCAGTTAGTCCTTTGTTGTTTTCATGGGATCTACCCTATATACACACACAGATTATGTGGATTTATCTACCCATTCACACTCCAAGAGACTCATAAAAAATACTGTCCATATAATTTAAAAACACTAGCAATAAAACTGTTCTTGCATTTTAGAGCAAGCCCTGGAATTTGTGGTTTCTCCTGCTGCTAGAGGACCTGTATCTCCAAACAAACAGAGAGGAGATGAAGTTCCAAGGTTAGGAGCAGCTCTAGGTGACCACTTGGGCCTGGTTTGCTACTGGGGGGAGAATTGCTGCTTCCTTCCATCTTTTTTCACCTCTTTTCTGCTGAGCTGTGCTGAAGCCAGCAGCATTGCATAAGGGGTTTGGATCACACTAAAGCCACAGGGTGGTTTCATGAAAACACACWGAGGCCATTGCTGCTGCCAAGGCAAACATTCCCAGTGAGCAGGAGGTGACCCAGCTCTCACACAGCCCAGCCAAGCAGGCTCACACAGGATCTGACAAGGCCCAYGAACATTTGTGACTACTAACACTGTCCATCAGCTCTTGAGGACTGCAGAGAACCCCAACAAGCCCATTTGCCCTTAGCTATTATATCCCACCAGTGTCYTACATGCAACAGCTACAAAAAAATAGCCACAATTTAAYCCAGCTACACCCTATGAAGTTGCTTGTCCTGATTTTACCAAGGGAATCTTTTCATTTTAGTTTTCAGTACCCTTCAGTTAGGATATTCCTAAATATGCATCTACTGTTATGGAAAGAGATTCTGATTTTTCCAGGTGCACTGCAATGGAAGCAACTCATYCTTTTGCCCTGCACTGTGTTTCAGAAACAAGTATCATTGAAGTAGAATTATGCCATGACAAAATTTTCCTGCTTTATTAAAAAAAAAGTTTGGGGCTTTATGTAATTAAAAGTATTGGAGTAGAAGAGAATGGTCATCAGGATTTCTCTCCCCACTGCTCCTGTGCTACTAATGGCATTATTTCAAGCCTGTAAAAGGTCACATTCCACAARAMTCTCTTAACATTTTTATTCTGGGCTGGAATAACAGGCCTTGTACCTCCTTCCTCAATACAGATACCATGTCTTCTACATGATGGAATACCAGCCACAGTACAGGTCATCTTAACTCCYTCCTGAAGGATGTTTGTATTCTGTGAACAATCCTCCATAGAACATCACACAYCRCTACAAAAGAAGCTGCTGTGAGGAGGTRTCTCTTGGCAAGATGGGGACAGAAGTTCTYCCTAAAAAGACTTCCATGTGTTTGAATTTGAAGTTAAAATTTCACTGTAATTGCACAGKTACAGCACAACCTGGGGAGCTGTGGGTGAGTCACCTGCCATGTCCCACTTCTGTCAATCCTGTGGAGGTCAATTAATACAGGTGAAGAGCAAGTAATACTTGGTTACCCAGGACATGACCACATTTASAAGTCCAAAAAGGAGCCAACAAACACCTCCAAGAYACTCATTTTGTTAAASCTTTGGAGTGTACTGCTGCTTTTTYATAGGCCTTAAGTAATAYAGCTGAAACATACCACTGAGGAGGAAGGAAATTAGTACAGCAATGGTGGTGTGGCAATGTGCTGACTCTCTCTCACATATTTGCAGGACTAAGAGCACAACTWTTAATCACTATTGCCCCATTTCTAGGTTTTAGGGAAAAAAAATAAATAAATAAAAAAGGTTGCCAGGAACACTGTTCCTAAACAGGTTTACAGAACTAAGGGGGCTTAGGTCACACCTTGAAATGATGACAGGAACCACACTGGCTCCTGACGAACTGCTCTGTCAGCAGAACCAGCTGTTTGCAATGCCAGGTGTGACACTTTGGGTTGAATGCCAGACGAGCAAACAACACCCAACTAACTCTGAGCTCCCCCAAAGCAGGTCACTGAAACAGTGGGGCAGGGGGAATTCTGTGTACAGATCCCAGACCTCCTCGGAGAGGTTTAACAACACAGGAACAAGAAGTTAAGGCCTCTGTTGACAGGCACTGGTRAATGTATGTTCTTACTATAGAACCAGGGCTTTAGCTCTCAAGCTGATTACTCCAATACTAATGAAGATAAAGCATTAATCCTTAAAGGAAGAAGAGAGCAGGGATCCCAGCTCACCCAACAGCRAGCAGAGCCGGAAGAGGAAGGAAARAGAAACCAAAAACAAGCAGTGACCTGAAACGCCGCCTATTAAACCCAGCTGAGAGACAAACAACCCGACAAGGCGAAGTTCAGCTTCCCCACAAACCAAGGGCGGCACAAGTCCGTCTGTCCCCGCAGCTCCACGGTTACCCCCTCCCAGCTCTTACCGCCTTTGGGCTTAGACTCCCCCGCGGCGGGCCCGGCCGAGGCGGACCGCGGCTGCTGCCCTTTGCTGCCGGCCGAGGATCCGGGCGCACCGGAGCCGCAGGGGCTGCTCTTGTCCATGGCGGGGGCTGCGGGGGTCGCGCCGGGCGAGCTCTGCAGCATCAACGGGCGCCCCGGGCGAGCGGCGGCCCTGGGCGGGGGGGCACGACGGGCGCTGGCGGAGCCGGCGGGGGCCCAGGCTCATGGCCCGCGGGGGCGACCGGCGGGGGCGGCGCAGCGCGGACTCGGCCTCCTTCATGGCGACATCTTCTTGCTGCTCAGTTCGAACCGGGGAAGGCCGCGGGAGGCCGGGCCGGGCCTGCGGGGCTCCGGGCGCGGGAAAGAGAAGAGCTGCTCACGGAGCCCCGCGGGGCCCGGCGCTGCTGCCGCCCGAGGGGTCGGCACCTCCCCGGCACCCACCGGCTGCTCGGCGCCGCACCGGCCCCGGCTCGGCCGCCGCTGCCCCGTAATGGCGACGAGTCGCCCGCAGCAGTGGCCGGACCCGGATGCAGCCGGTCCCGGGCGGGCCCCCGGGCATGACGGGATTTGTAGTCCTGGGCCGCGCGGGGCGCGCCGGGAGCTGCTGTGAGCCCCGCACACCGGGCCCGGGCCCGCCCCTCGCTCCCGGCCCCGCACCGAGAGCATCGCCCCGCCTTCAGCAGCGCCCGGTACGATAGGAAAGCATGTGGTATAAAATCATTGTCACCGTTTTGTAGCAAAGAACCGTAAAAGTTTAAAAAATAAAGTACCTCATCAGGCCGACTTGAAGTGAAGTTTTTAATTTTCCCTCAAAGCCAAAGGGGAAAAAAAAAAACCACAAGGCAATCCGGATCCGAAAGGCATTTCTTTTAAACTTTAAAATAACAAAGATCTTGAATTCATCTCTTGATGCCTCTTCAATTATTTTAGGGGTCAGAGCTTCAAGTCCTGTGGGAGAGCAGCTCTCAGATTCTTTAAAAAAAGTTTGGATCAACATGTAAGGGCATCTTTACCCCCATAATTCATACCATGATCTGAATCTACAGCCCCTCAAGTAAGAGCTTCACCACTGTTTTTGTACCCACAGGTCAATGATCTGTAACACCACTATGATCAACAAATCTAGGAATTTACACGTTTCAAACAAATCCTCCATAAAGAAAAACCTCGTAAAGGCCTTATTTTAACCTGATAGTTCCCTATTTAGTTCTATTATTCTTAGAATGTCTAAGTAAATTGTGAGTGTGGTCATCACAGTATTTAGATCTTTGAAGGAGAAAAAACCTCAACTTTCTAACAAAGTTGCCCTTCCATATTTGAAAGRAATTAAGAAATASCACATGCAGCACTACAGAGTAYAGAGASRCAAAACATTTAAAAGCAAAACACAACACTTTTATTAGCAAATTGGCTGGCTGTGGAAAGAAAATAAATAGAAGGAAGTCTTCTCCCCCTCCCCCGCAAAATGACAACAACCATATAACAAAGTAATGCTGAACAGGAGGATATTATGAGGAAACACTTGCCCCTGTTACACGAGCTGCAGTGCCACACTCAACACAGCCTTCCTCCCGAGACCGACTGGCACTCTGCAGAGCATCTCCTCGGACAGGTCTGTACCCTTTTATCACAGCCGATCATACATGGTCACGTATAATAAAAGAACATTCCAAGTTTKAGGAGCAGCTCCCTGCCAGAACCACCTGCCAAGCAGCCCCACAGGTATCGTCATTCCCAGCGCGCTCTCGGCTCCGCGCGGTGCCGCCGCCGTGCTCGGGCAGCGTTGGCCGGGAGTGCCGGGCACGGGCACAGCCCTGTCTCTTGCCCGAGCAGCGGCGGCTCAAACGCCGCCTCACGTTCAGCGCCCGCTCTCCGGCCGGAGCGACACGAGCACCGCCGCCCTCCCGGCCCTCCCCAGCCCCGCTGCAGCCCGGGAGCTCCGCCAGAGAGCGCGGCCCCTCCATCGCTCGTCCCGACGGCTCTTCYCTCCCCCGAGGGAGGCGAAGGAAGCCCGGCACCCGCGGCCAAGGGCTCGGAGCCCCGCGGGCAGCTGCCGGGAGTGCGGGAAGGCCGGGGGCTGKAGAAGGGCCCGCTGGTCCCCTCACGCCCCGGCCGCGCTCAGCCATCCCCACCCGGCGGATCCGCCATCGCTCCGGAACGCCCCGGCCCCACCCCCTGCGCGCCGGCCGCCAGCCATTGGTCAGCGCGACAGGTCCCCGGCAGCTCATTGGCCAGGAGAGGGATGGCGGGCGGGGCGTTCCCCGGCCCGGCGTGCTGTGCGCCCGCTGCCGTTTCCATGGCGGCGGGAACGCCGTCGGCCCCCCGGCCACGGTAACCGAGGACACCAGGGAGACATTGTTTGTGGTGTTAGGCTGCGGCCTAACTCTGCCTAAAACAGCTGTGGACGCTGAAATGAATAGGGAGGGGATTCAGCTAAAAGCCCCCCAGTGCTCCTGGCCGCACTGTTTGCTCTTAATACAAGAGCAAAATTCTGGCTGGGTGCTCTTCCTTATCTTCAGCTGGACAAGGAGCTTGGAGTCCACACTGAAATTTCTGAGTTTTTTCTCAGTAAGATARCTGCTATCAGCAGAGTCTGTGGTTGCTGGRAAAACAGAGGACACYGGGCTTATCTTCAAGGCTCCACATATCTTCTTCGCCTGCAGCAAAAGTCACCAGGAGYAGGGCATGGGACAGACAAATGGCCTTCAACCCAGGCCAAGGGCTGCTGTAGCTCCTGCTTGTCCCTGACAGAGCACAGGCCTGTCTAACCACAATGCTTCCTGATGCAGGTCTGGGTAACTGTCTTACATATTGCACTCAGCATTCAGGTAGTCCAGCTTTGGGAAGAGATTTCTTTCAGAGGCAACACAGGCCCAAGGAAAAGTCCAAAGTACCTTGTGACCACACTTTTGCAGAGTGTTGCAGCACTCATCCCACTTCACTTCTGGTGTGGATASTGTTCCATGAAAGGATATTACAATTAAACATTTGCCCTCTTTGTAATGACTGTGATTTCTCTTTCAACTTCCTATTTCTCCACAGCCCAAATGGACATGTCTGTGTCTSTACCACAGCTGCCTGAACAAACATGGCTATCTGTATTAAGCAATGAAGAGGGTTGTGTTGCAGGAGCAGCCCCCTGCCAAGCAGCCCTACACTACAGGTATCGTCCTTCCCAGTGCACCCCCAGTGCTGCATGGTGCCACAGCCGTGGCCGGGCAGTGCTGGCCGCGTATGGCAGCACAGACACAGCCTGAGCAGCCGCGGCTCGAATACCAGGTCATGGCAAGCACCTGCTCTCCAGCTGGGAGCGACACAAGCACTGCCGAGCCCTTCCAAGCCGCACCACCCACACCCGGCTCCCGCCACCCTGGGGCTCCCACTCCCCTGTACCAGCCCAGCCCACACAGAGCGCAGCTGTTGTTGCCCATCGTGTCCACACCCGCAGGGCGGCTCCGCTCCGCTCCAAGCCCGGGATCACGACCGATTCCCGATAATGGCGATGAGTCACCCGCAGCAGTGGCCAGATCTGACCCCAGCGGGACCCCCGGCACGACGGGACTCAGCCCTCGGCCAGGAAGGTCGTGACCCCGCACACCCCTCGGGCAGTGCTGCCCACGGCTCGCCCGGACCCAGTCACCCACYGTCACCATATTACAAATCGGCCAGAAATAACAACCTGGCTGGGGTAGAACTTGGCTTTTATTCTCCAGCGCAGTTCTCCAAAGACAGCAGTAAAAGAAACAGCTCAGGTTTGGGGACAGCACATCCAGCAAAACGAGGGGGAGAATTATTTTATAAAAGTAAAATCAGAAGAGTAAGAGAGGTTTGGAACATAAAGAACTAAACACTGTCAGTACTTGCATAGCACTAGCAGTAATCGGGAAATACAGTAGATGGCTATAAAACTCTCCAAAGCAAAACTGCTCCAACAGCTCTAGTAGCAAAGGAGGAGCCTTCTGAAAAAAAATAAATACAAGGAAGACTTTTTTGGTACTTTTCCTTTTTATATCCACTATGTAATGTCGTCTGTTACAACATAATCCCTGCCATTGCCCTTGAAGATCAAGGCCTGTGTCCTTAGGAAGGCTGCAGTAACAAGTCAGAGTCCGGTAACTGGATGCAAGTTTCAGTAACAGTCCACGGTTCTAACCAGACTTGAAAAGAAGAATAGCAACTTGGCCGAGGTAGAAGTAGATGAAGTGCTTGGTCTCATGAGTCACGTAGCTGCCAAAATTCCTTCCCACAATGCAGTGCCAAGTGGGATTGTATTTCTTGTCAAACTCCTGCAAAACAGATCACAACTTAAGAACTCTTCTAATAGGTACTCACTTTCTGAGCAAGGCAATCAGAATAAGAACAGATGCTCCTAAGTACTAGGATTATCTTATTTGCATCCTATTGTTCACCTCCTGCTTACCCAGACATACTAAAAACCTTACAGTGCTCCCCAACTGAGCAGTAATTAAGTTTAAAACATTCCTTTTGTTGATGCAAAGTAGTCTTTTATTCCCCCATAATTTATAGCATGACTGAATCTACAGTCTTCAAGTAAGATTCATCATTAGTTTTGTACCCACATAGACAAAGCCATAATTTAGACTTCACAGCTGCTAAACAAAGTCTCTGCAAYATTGCTCTGTAACAGCAGTCTGAGCAAGAAATCTAAGAAGTTGTGCTTTACATATTTTCAAACAAATCCTCTATAAATTTTCAGTAGTTGCTACAAAGAATATCTGAAAAGTATTAAAATATATCTTTCCAACTTCCATAGGTACTTCCTGTATCYTGTACTTTCTGTATTGTCGTCACAGCAAACAAGTATTTCTTCAGAAGCAATCATTCTGCATAGCTGAATTACTTCTCATGTTAGAGAAGCTTCTCCACCCCAAGCATCCTGTATTTTAAAATTATCTCCACCCCAAGTGTCCTGGAGCAGAGCCTCAGGCTTTGAGTGGTACAGCGGCAGAACAGCTTAAACTGGACACCTTCAGAAAAACCCCAAACAAAGAAATTACCAGGCAATWACACCGTCCCAATCTCAGCTCCCCACCCTTCACAGTTCAATACTATTATTAGGGTCTGGGGACTTCTTGTTCTTTATTGTGTCATTGRACAGTCTTTTTTATCTCTCACGTTGTGGTTTCTGCCGACAGTTATAACTTCCTTATTTTCCAGCTTGAACCAACTGTTGAGTCCCTTTTTCACAGTGATAGGTAAAAGTTAACGTATCTGTGTGAAAATTCACAGCTTGCAGCCTAAAGCTTAATCAAATTGAGCTCCTCATGCCAAGCAGTTAACTTCAGTTTCAGTCCAATTGGCCTTAACATTTCAACAGCTCTTCCACTCAGATCAGTTTAACTTCTACTGACGCACTTTGATTTCTCCGTTCTCCTGAGCTGACAAAGCAGGAAATATAATCTGAACTAGATCTTTCTCATGTATTGTTAATCCTACATAAAGGACGACACAGATGTTGCAAACAGCAGATAATCGGTGCCACCGGGATTTTTTTTTTTCTTTGTGCTCATTTCACTCCATAAGGTGTGATTACAGTAGAACTGTAGAAAACTACTTTTCCCTGCTATTTTTGATACAGCTGGCAAGAATTGTAAAGAGATTCTTAAGATTAAGTTAAATACAATTGAAACCAAGAACAGGCTTCCTCTCAGAGGAAAATCACAGGAGAGCTCAATAGAGTCCCTGTGTTTTGTACCAGCTCATCAGTCACAGGGACAGTCAGGTGCCACTCTGTCCTCACGTGGACAACGGGACAGAGGCAAAAAATACCTTAATTAGAACATCCTGCAAGAAAAAAGAGGACCTAGAAAGATACATATAAAAGGTGGGGAAAGAAACACATGGACACCAGTCTAAAGAGAAAGTCCGACTTGATTATCTAGTGTCTCTAGAACTTGTTTTTCTAGCGCTACTTGCCTAGCAGCATTCTCCCCAATTGATTTTTCATGCGCGTAGAGATATCATGAGCTCATTACAAGCCAACGTTTACCTTCTTTATGTGAGCAGCGATGTCCTTCTCAATGTTGTATTTCTCTAAGGCTTGAGTAGCACATTCCACAGC